ACTATCACATTTCGGGGTTCGGCAGGCAAAATAGAATTTATGAAGACCAAGATGTTGTGGCCTCTGGTGTGGTCGAAGTTTAAGTTTAGAAAAGCGAGAGAAACTTTGGTTACAATTGATAATTACGTATTAGTAGATAAGTTTGCTCATAGACGTGGTAGATGAAGTAAAGAGTTGACCACAAGATTTGCTCGGTGCCCTTACCGCAGAGGGAATCTGCAGCATCAAGTTAGGTCGCCATGCTAATTTAGAATCCAGACTTTAGTGGCTTGCTCAGTCAGGCTGGTGTATACGTGCTATCAAAAGACTGAGGCATACAGTGGAACATAACGCCTGGATGCGGTGGTAGTGATAGGATGAAATCACTAGACCAGACTGATAAGGGAAATTATCATGCATATTATGGACTCCGGAAAAGATGGTTTCCTTTATCTCTTCCTGCTAATATCACCAATTTGCGAAAACAGGGTCAAACAACTACTAAAATCTATTAAACCTGAAAATTTTGGCCTAATACGGAGTTAACTGCGCAACACCAGGGTCTTATCAAAGTAAGCAATTCCAAACGGGTCTAATATTTTTATTTTAATACAAATAAACATTCGGGACAAATGTATATACCAGACTTTGGAGGACCGCTCTGGTTGAGTATCTTCGATCCAATTATAGTTTCAATGTTAAAAGGTGCAGCAAACTGGAAAGCCATCGCAGCAGCTTCATTGATGCCTAAATAAATAAAGGATAAAAGTTAGTCATAATAAGAATTTTGGTGATACAAGATATTAATAAAAGCACAAGTTCCCTGATTTTCATGCACTGCCAGAGTTCACTATCGTATCCAATATGTGAAGTCCTGTGAGCACGAATATAAGGTATATATAAGTCATACTTTACTGTATTGTCTTTTGCCTTCTGATAAGCTTGTTGTCGAAGAGTGCTTGGATCTATTAGGCCAAGTCATGTTGATAAGTTTATTACAATCGAATTAAAGCTAGCGGTTATTCGAAACATTTTAATATATGTTCTGAGAAATTCTACCATAGCAAAATAGGTCAATGAAAGCCTTGAATGGTCTAATAGCATTTAAAGAGTAAATGCGGTTTAAATAAATCTTAGGTTATCCAAATTTCGGGCTTGTGAAAATGGGTAATAATTTTCTACTGGATTCGGAAAGACCTGAACAAATATTTTAGTTTATTTGCTAAATCCAGGAAAATAATTTTAAAAGTGAAAAACTGTATAATTTTTAGAATTTATTTGACCTTGATTTCGCAACTTGGTCATATTGCTAGGAAGACTTAAAGAAACGCACCGAGTCCGGAGTCCATCGTAGGCATGATCATTTCCAAAGTCTGACCGTGCACGTGATACATTACCAGACGTTTCGCCGGCATCGTCAGTGAGTCTCGCATTCGTAGCACCATATTAAAACTCGTCAAAGAGACAAGTGAAGCCCATCCTTTGACCAAACGTGTGCTAACAGTTAGTGGTATCTCCCATTTGCCCTGGACTATTCACATTTCCTATATCGTCATATCATGCCTTACCTGTCACCATTTTTACCGTGCTTATTTATAATGTAGTGTGATGTGCTCCTTCGAGCGGCATTCATGGAAACCCTTCACACTTCACCCCATTCATCCTTGTATTGGGAATGTTAACCAGAGTCTGTCATATTGTTACGTAGTTCTTCCCTGGGTCCTATCAGAGTCTTCCTTTTGCTCCGTAGCATCAGACTGCTATCTCCTTGGTACAGTAGGTTTTACAAGAGACGTGGTTCATGTAGCAAAGGCATGACCATGAGACTTACTCTGATACTTTATCCTCTAATCAATCACCCAGGTGCAGTGGATGGACGAATTACGCCTCGAGTAGCACAGATGGGGGGGCAAGGGTCGGGTGAAATACATGTACCAGAGAGATAGAAGACGGATTCTACGGGCAAGAGGGAAACTCTGATAGAAGCCAGGGAAGGACTATGTAACAATATGACAGACTCTGGTCAACATTCAGAGCACAAGGGTAAAGTGGGTGATAACGACAGTGTCGAGTCTAAAGAGTTTTCATGAATGCTGCTCGAAGGAACACACCACACGACATTAAAAATAAGCACGGTAAAAATTGTGACAGGGAAGGCATGATAGGACGATAAAGGAAATGTGAATAGCCCAGGGCAGAAGTGGAGATACCACAACTGTTTAGCACACGTTTGGTCAAAGAATGGGCTTCACTTGTCTCTTTTACGAGTTGTAATATGGAGCTACGAATGCCGGCCAAACCTCTGGGAATGCACCACGTCCACGGTCCGACTTTGGAAATGATCATACATACAATGGACTCCAGAATAGGTGCGTTCCTCTAAGTCTTCCTACCAATATGACCAAGTTGCGAAAACAAGGTCAAACAACTTCT